TTTACATTGTTGTTTTATTTCAGGCTAATGTTTGAAAGTGTGTTCTTATTTTAGATGTTTTTATTGTAATGTCAGTCTAGAGCTGCACGGTTATTTTAATCAATACTGAGATCACAATTATTTCATGATTATTTTAGCAGAGTTTTAACTTTAATCGGCTTAAAGTTTTCTCAACCTCTAAAATGTGTCTGAAGTTCTGAACAAGTAATCTAAACAACGTGCAGAGGCGACGCCGTGATTTTAAATTGTAATTAAAGTGACATTAATTACGACAGAAATGAAGTGTGTGTGTGTGTGTGTGCGTGCGCGATCCAAGTCGACTCACTTTCCTCCTTTCTCTGTGGTCTTCTTCTTCTTCCCTTTGCCTGCAGGCGTCTGTGCAGCAGCAGTGGGGTCGGCCAAACTCTGCTCGTCTGTGGCGATGATGTAGTCGTAGAATCCCTGGTTAAACTGAGTGATGATGTGACACCTACAGTGAGTGGAGAGAAAGAAGAGGGGAATGTGGCACCGGTTTATTGCTGGAGCTGTAGTGCGACATCTAGTAGCAGTTAATTCTGTATCTAGAACCTTTTTCATGTCAGTCCTTCAGTATCAGCTGTCAGACGTACCTGGAGTGGACGGGCAGCTCCGAGTTGAGCACGCAGGCAGGAATACCAAACTGCTCCAGAAACAGTTTGAGCCTGTAGCTTCTGTCCACGGCGCCCACAAACACCAGCGTCTTGCCCTGGACCAGCCGCAGCCTCAGCAGCGTGTAGATGAGCAGGAACTTGTCCTCCTCCTCGCACTTGATGCTGTACTGTTGCAGCTGGCTGCTGTCTGGGAGCTGAGAGCCCTGAAGCTTCAGGATCACCTGCAGGAACACGGATCCAGGTAAGAGGACGAAACCAGATCCAACAACACCTCCTTACAACATCTTTACTGCGGCTTCTATTATGATCAGTGTCAAACAGCCGTTTCCTCTAAAGCAGAGACTACAGCCGCGTTCCCACCAGAAGAACTTTTAATCTCAGGAACTAAAAGCTTCCTTCAGACTTGAATGATGACGCTGTTTTATATGAGACTTTCAGGGTTCTGGATGTTTTCCAGGAGTTTTTCTCAACAATGAAGGACAGAACATGCTCACTAAAGAAAAAAGACAGCGTTCTTCTGTCCCACAAGTATCAGTGTAGATTATCCTACTGAGAGTCGGGTTTCAAACAACATACGCACCCAGGCTTACACAGACGATCTGAGCGAGGGGATACAAATACAACTGAAATGTTCCAGGAGAACATGAATTATTTCCAGGATGTTTGGAGATTTTTATTAATTTCCAGGTGTTTCCATGACTGGAAAACTACTCTCTAACTTTACGTGTGCGACTCCCAGACTACACAACAACGATGAAGTTTAGTTCCATCTGTTGTATGCTGTGAGTGCTCGACCAATCAGAAATGCCCCACCCCAACAGTTCCTATACTTCTGGAAATTAAATAAAAAAATGTCCCTGGTTCCTGTGGTGGAAACACAGCTTACTGTAACACACTCAGGAAAAGACCATGACTGTGGAAATGACTTTACGGGGTTGTGCAGCAGCAGCTCCTTTAAGGCCTGAACGTCCTCAGTGAGAGTGGCCGACATCAGGAACGACTGGTAGATCTTCGGCAGATGGCTGTAAAGACACAACACAACACAACAGGACGATCGCAGGAGAACACAAACACTGATGATGTTGGGATTAAATGGAAACTGTAGAAACTGGCCATATTTTGAATTTGCCAAACCAAAAAACACCAAAACTGAATGCATCCACTAACAAATACACTGTGTAGGTGTGTGTGTGTGTGTGTGTGTGTGTGTGTTGTTGTCTGCAGGATAAGTAAAAAGGCAATTGTTTGCCAACATGTAAGCCATAGTAACATTAAACTGGGATGTCAAGGATCAAACCTGTGAATTTGTTTTATGTTATTCTGCCCCCTGGTGGCCGAAAAATATAAGAAAAGTTCATACGGAATATTTCTACCAGTCTTCAAACAACCTGAGAAGGTAAATGATCCACACTGAGGCGTATTTGGGCTATTCTAGGTTTTTTTTTAAGTCAAGGAGCCAAAGGAGGGTAAATATTAGTGGGAAATGAACAAGATTTATTTATTTTTGTGGTTAAGGAACAACATGGCTCCACCATATTAACATCAAGTGTTTGCGTGTTCTCACCACAACAAGTTCTTCAGGTCCGCCTCGAAGCCGAAGGAGAAGAGCAGGTCGGCCTCGTCCACCACCAGCGTCTCCAGGGACGAATGCAGGACCAGGTTCTGGGCGCCGAGGTGGGCGAGAACGCGAGACGGCGTCCCCACGACCACGTCGGGCTTCTCCATTAAGATGGGCCTGTTTAAACATCGACCACACACCTAACCATTACATCTACACTCGATAGAGGACGAGACATTCTGAATTATGTCCCAGTGATTAAATAAAAGCACCGATATCACCCGACAGACCTCTGCGCCGACAGGTCCGCTTTCCCCGAGATGTCGGCCACTCGGACGTCCCTGGAGCAGTACGCCGTCAGCTGCCTGATCATAGTCTGGACCTGCTGACCCAGCTCTTTGGTTGGTACCAGGATCAGAGCTCTCACATCCTGCTCACGGACGCTCTGAAGACACCGAACAGAAAGCGAGAGGTGAGGAGGATGAGAGAGAGAAAGAAGAGCTCAGTCTGACACTGAATATAAGAACAGAAAGGAGGACAAAATCTTCCCAAAAGACGACAGAATGATCCAGAATTAGATAAAACATCTACAGGTATTAAATCAGACGGACTTCTGGAGTAAAAACATCTGCAAACTGGTTCGTTTTAAAGATTAAATTCACTTTGTCTAACGGTAATTCCTGTGTTTCTCCACCTGTTTGGAGGCCAGGATGCGCTGGATGACCGGTACGGCATACGCAGCCGTCTTTCCAGACCCGGTCCGAGCTCGAGCCAGAATGTCTTTCCCCTCCAGAGCCAACGGGACGGCCTTCTCCTGGATCAGAGTGGGCTGGGACCAACCCAGATCGGCCACCGCCTGAAGACACCGTGATAATAAAGAGTTAATGCGTTTGTACATCAGTGAGACATTTTCCTTTACAAGCTGTTTCAGAGTTATTTCTTCCACTTTGACAACAGAACAGTTAATATACACACCGCCTCAATTTGTGGCCCTCAACAACACGTGTTTAAATGTAGTTAAAGTCCCGATCGGGTCACAGAATTAGGTTTAACACAGAGAACATTAAAGCTGCAGCAGTTTATAAAAACAACTTTTAGTCCTACAAACTGAAACTTTCACTGAATCCTGACAGAAGAACGAGAGACGGATGATGTGTGAAAGAATCGGCGTCCTCTGGCTCGTCCTGGTGCTCCGAACGTCTTCTGTCAGAATCCACCGGGCCCGAATGAAAACAACCAATCAGAGCCGAGGAAGATAGCGTTACACTGAGTCTCATTCCCAGGTCGTCTAATACGGATACTGACTCAATAAATCAACTATCTTCAAGCCTCCAACCCAAATAGTCTTTAAATCTTCCTCGGCTCTGATTGGTTGTTTTCATTCGGGCCCGGTGGATTCTGACAGAAGACGTTCGGAGCACCAGGACGAGCCAGAGGACGCCGATTCTTTCACACATCATCCGTCTCTCGTTCTTCTGTCAGGATTCAGTGAAAGTTTCAGTTTGTAGGACTAAAAGTTATTTTTAGAAACTGCTGCAGCTTTAATGTTAAAGTTTATTATTATTTTATTATTATTTATTAACTACTCAGTCAGAAAGTCAAACAGAACAAAGCTTCCTGTCCCCTTTATGAGGAGGTAAATAGTGTTAATTATTTATATTTAATTGTATTTTAATGTTTCAATACACGAGACTTGTTTGTTTGTTGTTTATGTCGCGTGTTCTCTTCGGTTCTCTTCGGTTCTCTTCGGTTCTCTCCGGCTCCCGCGGTCATGGACCGGTTAATTGAACGTTTCCACTCGGTGCCGAACGGTTCGTTACCTTTAGAAGACGGTCGTCCAGGCCCATCTCATGAAACTGAAGCCGTTCAGTCGCCATCTCTGCGCCTCGCTGCGCTCACATGTGCGTCCGTCGCAGGGAGTTTTACGTCATGTTGCCTTCACGTGCCTCCTCTCGGGCTCGGAACTTCCAGTTTTGAGATGATGATGATGATGATGAAGATGATGAAGACGAGGGTTTATGTTGCTCCCAGCTGTTTGGCATTTATAATTGACTTACAGATTGTGTTTGAATCTTGAAGCTGCTGAAGCCTCTCCTGTGTTACAGCTTCATTAAACCCACTTTAAGTTAATTCAATTTAACTTTATATTCCTTATTCCAGCATCCGTTTATATATTTCTAACTGTATACAGTAGTTTATGTCTTTTTTTGTTGTTGAGCTTGTTGTTTATTTATGTTTATTCTGTGTTTGTACATTGAGAGCAACGTATATATTATTGTTTATTTTATTAATATGTGCTGCTGTGATTCATTGTTATATGTGTTTCACATCAGTTGCCTGTTTGTTATTTGAAGCTTAATAAAGTTCTTCTGAAGCTTTAAGGCTTTAAATCTTCTGTCAAAGGGACACTGAGTGAAGGTTTTTTTTTTTTTCTTAAATCAAAGACCTTAAAGTCATGGAAAATAAAAATGCAATGAAACTTTTTAGTAACAGAATAATATGAGTCATAAAAACTGTATTTATTTGTGTATGCACCTGATCCTGTGATGTATGATTAAGCCATGATGTTTGTACAAGGCTTCTTCTTCTGATTCCGCCAATTAAACACAAATAAAAACTACAATGAGATATATCCTGATACAGTAGAAATATTACACAGACTGTAAGTACTCCATTAAAGTCCCTAAACTGTGTGTAAATGTTCTTTAATCACATTCCTCCACAGCTCAATGAACCCTGTGGGAACACCGGTTCCTCCCTGATGAGGAATTTATTCCCATTATTCCCTCATCTGACCGGCAGATGGCGCCAGAGTCACCACCCACTGAATCCCAGACGTCTTACGGATCATAATTAACAATTAAATGTAAAAAATAAGCACCGATAACAGAACCATTCCCCCGCAGGAGCCAGCGGGGAAGCCTCCTGAGGGAAGCCCGCCTGTGCGTCGCTCTAACCCGGCTGCGGTGTCCGAGGCGCCCTGAACGAGGACTTGTTGAGAAGATGGTGAAGCGGGTGGAGGTGAAGATGTCTGGTGGATGCTGAGGAGCAGCAGCAGCAGCATCATCATCATCATCCTCATCCCATCCATCCCTCCTCCCACAGCAAACAAACGAGTCAACATGGCGGCGGTGCAGCTCGCCCTGTAGCGCCTCGGAGACTCCGGATCAAACCCGCACAGGTACAGAGAGCATGCACGGTGTATGGGATGGAGATGGGGGGGGGGGGATCCTGCAGCTTGCGTGCTTTTATTTCACATTTCAGAGGTTTTTTTGCCTCAAACACAGACACACATGCTGAATAGTGTTCACCAAAATAAAGCTACAGGTAAATATTTGTTATATAATCAGAATATCCAAATGGAGATGGAGGACGCGTCTTTTATTCTCTTTTATTCTTCTCTCTCTCTCTCTCTCTCTCTCTGGTTCTCAGATTAAATGGCGTTCATGTCCCGGTTCTCCCGGTCCCGGAGCAGCTCCAGGTCTCCGAACCGAAAGGACTCCGAGCGCGCCTCCCCGAACCTGAGCGTGTCGGAGCTGGAGCGGCTCCTGTGCACCGGGAAGACCGCCTGCAACCACGCAGACGAAGTGTGGCCGAGACTCTACATCGGAGACCAGTGAGTTCCCATCGGCCTCAACTTCAGCTGAAGCTCTGAAACACATTTAACTTTAACAGCTGCACTCAGAACTGCTTCCAGCTCCATGTTTACTCACTGTACTGTGTTTTATGGTCTGTTGTATTTGTTATAAATACAACAGAATAACTCTATTATAAGTACTGTTACTTTTATATAACAGTAGTCTGTACTTTTTAAGTAGTATTTTACTAGTAGTGTAACTAATTACTTGTACATTTCAGTAATAATATTTCAGTTACCCCCCAAAAATAATTAGTTACAACCTTTCTTTTGTTGTAATGTTGTTGTAATAATCTGAAATCCAACAATCCACTATTTGATTTTAACAAACAAAACTGGATTTTAATCGTTGAAAGTCTGAATTTTGGGGAGAACAGAGACAATTACTAATTATTTGGGGAGTAGCAGAAAAGGTAATAGTACTGTAACTAATTACTGCTGGCAGGGAGTAATAAGTAAAGTAATAATATTACTTTAGAAAAGAGTAATAACTAATAAATCAGATTACATACCACCAAATAATCCAGAATCTGAAGGTTTATATGAAACTTAAAATAAAAACATGTTGCTTCAGGAGCAAACTTTATTTATTTATTTATTAATGGTGTCAGAAAATATAGAAAAATATAATATTGCCATATTTAGTTTTTTGTGATTGAAGTTATCAGTGATGTGAATGTAAACTGAGGGCCATGATGTTTGATGTTAAACTTGCTCATATTCTATGTGTATTGTGGACAGTTGTCTTAAAATTAGACCTCATATATATAATATATATATATTATATGAGTCTGGTTATGGAGGGCTTTGTGTGTGAGGAGGAGGATTTTGAATTGAATTCGTTGTGGGACCGGGAGCCAGTGGAGGTTCTGGAGGACAGGGGTAATGTGGTCATAGGTGTGTGGGTGTGGGTGAGCAGACGAGCAGCAGAGTTCTGGATGTACTGGAGTTTATTTAAGGTTTTGGATGGTGTGCCGTACAGGATGCTGTAGCAGTAATCGATTCTGGAGGTGATGAAGGCGTGGATGAGGGTTTCTGCAGCGGAGAAGGAGAGTGATGGGCGGAGTCGGGCGATGTTTTTATGTTTTTGAGGTGAAAAAAGGCAGTTCTGGTGATTTGGTTTATGTGGTGTTCAAAGGAGAGGTTATTGTCAAAGATGTCTCCGAGGTTGCGACAGTGAGGGGATGGAGACAAGGCGGAGGTGTCCACAGTGAGGGAGAAGTTTAGTTTAAGGAAGTTGGTGTGCATCCAGGATTTAATGTCAGTGAGGCAGTTGGAGAGAGTGGAGTGAGTGGCGGAGGTGATGGATTTGGTGGAGATGTAAAGCTGGACGTCGTCGGCATAGCGGTGAAAGTTGAGACCATGGTGGCGAATGACGTTGCCAAGGGGAAGCAGGTAGAGTATGAAAAGGAGACATACTACCGACCCTGAGATCGCTCTCATTGATAAATGTTGCAGCTGGTAAAGGTGGACTCACTTTTTATTACTTTATACTGCTGAGTAGTTTCATCAGTAATTATAATAATTATATAATCTTTTATCAGATTGTTTTTGTGTTAATATGAATTTGCAAAATAACTAAAGCAAATAAATGTAGTGGAGTCAACATTGTCCTCAAGTAAATGTATTTTAGTTACACTCTAAATTTTAACATTAAGATATTAAATTTGACTGTAAAAGCTCCGAATATCTGATATCAGGCTGTGAACGTCTCTTCCTTTCTGCAGAGATATTGCGTCAGACCGCCGCGAGCTGGCCAAACTCGGCATTACACACATCCTGAACTGCGCCCAGAGCAAGTGGCGCGGTGGAGCCGAGCATTACGCCGGGATGAACATCACCTATCACGGCATCGAGGCTCACGACTCGCCCACCTTCGACATGAGCGTCAACTTCTACCCTGCAGCCGAGTTCATCCACAAAGCGCTCACAGGTGGAGGTTAGTCTGGGAATATTTAACACAATAAGGTTTTAATAATTGGATAATTATTCATATTTGTATGTTTGTTTGTTCTAGATGGGAAAAAGTTGAATTTAACCACTTTATTTATCAGGACACACAGATATGGATTGTGGATTGTTTTACAGATCGGTCGGGACTGAAGGGTGGCATTAAAGTAAAGCTATCGATAATATATTGATATATTTTATATATTCATATTGTTTTATTGCCAGGGTCTATAGTGTGTGGATGACATTATTATGAAGTATTTCTTTAATAACTCTTGAATAATATGGGATTATGTGGATAAATCTATAACCAAGATTTTAGAAATATTGAGCTCATGAATTCAAATAATGTAATTAATTCATTTTAATTTTATTCATTGATTTACAGTAACTTTGTTCTGGATTCAATTCGGCCTCAAAATCTAAAATTCTCCCAAAATAAAAACGTTAAAAGTTTTTATCCGATTAAGAAATACATCAAGCTCTATTGTATCTGTTCACCCCTGAATATTAATCAGTGTTACATTTTAAAATATAATTAGAGAAGCTGTAATGCTGGATGTTGAACAGCTGACACTTCTTTAATCTGTATAGAGGAGCAGCTGAAGGAGGATGAAGAGTTGGGATGTAAAACAGAGTATAAGTTGGGAGCTAAACTGCATTGGTTGAATAACGGTTAGAAACCAATAGTGAGCGATATGGTGCTGCCCTCGTATAAACAAAAAAATAATGATGATAATAATAAATGTATTAATTAAACATCAAGAAAAAGACACACACACACAAGCTAACCAAGAGCTATAGGAAGCTTTAAAGAGTGAACATCAGCACAGCTAAACTGCATTGCTTTAATAATATAATCAATAATGGTGAACCTGCTAACAAACAGTTGATTGTTTACAGATCGAGCAGCATTATCAGTGATTTAGAGCCACGTTTGTGTCCATCTGATCAATGAAAGTCTAATATTCACTCTCTTTTAGCTCTGTGTTTGGTCTCCAGAGACGCTGAGGGAGAGATCTGTTTTCTGTTAATCTGCTAAATGCTTCTCTGTGTTCACCAGCTAGTCTCTTACTCAAGGTAATGTACAGTGAGTTGTTAGGGCTTTTTATCTGAAAACAGACGCCTGCTGCGTCCGAACACAACGGTGTGACAATGAACATACAGTAAACAGATAAACAATGAGCTCGATAAAGCCGAGATATGGTCCAGATAATGTCGATTATAGGGAATTATATAGGGAAAAGAAAAAAATACATAACAGAAGTGTATAAACACATGTGAAATAGAGCAGATTTAAGGTAGTATTTGTGTGTGTGTGTGTGTGTGTGTGTGTGTGTGTGTGTGTGTGTGTGTGTGTGTGTGTGTGCAGGTAAGGTGCTGGTCCACTGCACTGTGGGGGTGAGCCGCTCTGCCACCCTGGTCCTGGCCTACCTGATGATCAGACAGAACCTGACGCTGGTGGAGGCCATCAAAACGGTGAAGGACCACCGAGGCGTCATCCCCAACCGAGGTTTCCTCCGCCAGCTCAACGGCCTGGACGGCATCCTGAGAGAAAGCCGCAAGACGTCACCGCAGAGCTGAAAACGCCCCCCCCGCCCTCAACAAACACCCAACCACAGGTAGCAGCTACACCGAGGGAGGTAATGGGACCAAGTTAGGAGCAACCTGTGGGTGTCTGACACTGTGGCGTTGTAGCAGCAGGTGATACACACAGTCGGATATCTTCACACTCACTTGTTTGCTGTTTATTTGTTATTTATTTATTTCATATTGTTGTTTATTTGTGTTTGAGGAGAGCACTGGACTGTAAGACTCTCCAGTGAAGCTCATATCCTTCTATAAGGATGAGGACCTGCTCATATATTTAACGTCAGATGAAACTTTCAGTGTAGTCTCGAAGGGATTTACAATCAATTACCCCTTTTATCCTTAAAGCACGGTCACACCACAATTTAAAACAACTGAAGTTTGTGGCAAAACAAATACTTTTACTTCGAACTAAACCCTAAAACTCTAAAAACTTTTGACCAACTCCAAAGGAAGCTATCGGAGCTTTAACTGCAGCATTTTATTGAACCTCCCGTATCTAAAGTGTAAACTGCTGCACAGAAGAGAGGGTGTGACCGGCCAGAGACCCTCAACACGGATAAGGAAAAACTAATAACAACAATATATAACAATAACACAAGAATATAAACTTATAGCTTTGTTGAAAATGGTTCCTCATCCGAATGATCACAAGATGATGGAAGAAACTAATTATGTGAATTATTATTATGACAATTTTAAATCTTTGCTTTTTTTCTACTGAATACTGAAGAGTTTTACTTCTTCAGACCTCTTAATGTGGACATCACAGCGGTCTAATCACGTCTGCCTCTCTACTGTCAAAATAAGGTCAGACGGACTGAAATATAATTAAAATCAGAACAATCACAGACGTTTTCTGGTCAAAGGTGACTATGAGCAGTCAATACATTGCTTATAAAGGTTCAACAAACAGGTTGGGAACCACTGGTTTAGAAGGTCTTTGCTTATTGAAAACCATGTAAGAGTAAAGTACACTCTTTCCACTTTTTAATCAAACTTCAGAGCATTCCAGAAGACTTGAACCAGATGTTTTATTGCCACAGCACCTACAGAAAAGCTTTCTGGACAGAATCAGTGGTCGGTAACACGCCGCAGGAATATCTAATCTCTGCTGCACTTCCTCCTGTTTTAGTGTTAATAACATATATAATGTGTGATTACTGTACACAGAGGAAGACGAGTCAACAGACGAATTAAAATGAGCTGAATTATACCTGAAGTACAGGAAATAAAGTCTCACTGGTCGATTTCAGAACCAGAAAATCCTGCAAAACATCTCATTAACGATGTTTCAGTCCTCAGACCTTCAGCAGCTTTTTATCTTTTATTTTTGCTCCTAAAAAATGCTCAAACTTATCATCAATGAAAGACAGAATTTAGTTTCAGTAAAGATTGAAATAAGAAAAGTATTTAGAGTTTTAAGGCTTATTGTTTACATTAATATTAGTTTGAATTTGTTTTATTTAGTATTATATCAAAAGGTATCAGGTGATTAAAGGGTTAAAGCATTATAATGGAACATTAACATTATTATTAAAAGCACGATGAAGAATTTAATCATGGTTTGTGATTGATCGACTACATTCATTTATATAAATTAAGAAAATAACATTTAAATCAGACTTTTTTTAGCTCCAGAGGGACTTTGACTGTACGGTTAATGATCCAGATGAACACTTTTGTATTCCACTTTAGACATTTTGCTTAACACCGGCGCAATTTCCCCTGAAATATCTGATTTACACGCCATAAAACAACAATAAGATGACGTTAAAGTCCCTTCTTCTTGCTCTTTTAACCACACAGTCCAAACCCACAACACTCAACAAACACACACCTCCAAACATCCTCCATCGTGTTCCGAAAACACCCGTTGTGCCCCGTTTCTGCCACACAGGTAACATATATTTTATCTGATGAAGGTCTGAGGATTAAAATAAAGTGTGTGGGATTTTTTGGTTCTTTCACAGTTCGAGTTTATGATCTGATGCTGCGAGACTGCGAGAACTTTGTGGTGAGTGTTCACAAGATTTTAGGACCAATTAGCTGGTTAAAATGGAGATAACCGCTAACAGTACTGCCGCTGTCCCCTTTGGCAACTAGTATGTGAGAGCTGATATTATCTGCAGTGTTCCTATCAGCCCGCTTGGACCCGAGCTCTGAGCATATTCAGTCTTTTTGTAATCAGAACTGAGGTTCAATCTGTGATCGCAGCCCTCAGATTGAAGATTCTTGCTCAGTGATTCCTCCCCACAGTTTAAGTCCTCAGTGATTCTTCCCTCGACTTACTTTTTTACATTCAGCAAGTGTCATTAAGTGCTCTGAACAACTCACACACTAGTTGTAGCCCAGGTCTAAACCAGCACAGCTATGTAGCCTGTTGACTATAGTATTACAGTGTTGTCACAGTCTGTACGCAATTATTACCTGTGAGGAGTTTGTGAATAGAAACATACAGTAAAATATGATTTTTTTAAATTAGTTCAATGTATTGTTTCCGTCCAGTGTATTTCAAATAATCTCAGTCCTGAACTTTTCTATGATATATCTTGTGTGTGATCATCTGAAACTCATCCAGTATATTTAAGCCCATTCGGACGGGATTAACGTCGCAGGTGGAGGTGAGGAATGAAATATTCACTGTGCTTCTCCGTCATTTAACCCATCGCTCCATCGGGACATTACAGGATACGATCTGTAGACGCGGACATTGAGCCAGGAGAAAAAGTCCAATAATGTGTTTATAAATTACAGAGGAAAAGACGCTGCAGAACTCGCCCGAGAATCATCCCGTTTTTAAGTTTATTCAGTATTAAAGAAATCCAGTGATAGTTGTCTGTACGTCAGTGTGTGCGATGCAAACAGGAGCTAATAGCTAATTCTGCACACTTTTAATGGGGCAGTTTGTCAAAGGAGAGAGGTTAGCTGACATTACAACAGCACGTCATGACTTCTTTTAGTCTTGCTATCCTGATGCTCAGTTTATCATCGTATTGTTTTCCAAATATACCTTTAGGTTGAGCATGTTTCCATCTATCAGATACGAAAATAGGTTTAGGAAAAAGCCTTTCACAAAAAAAGTTTGAGTTTAGGACAAGTAGGACAAACTCAGATCCACTTTACAGGACAAGGACCTCGCTTTGGACAGGATTTAAATTACAGGAGGGGCACGAGTTCACAGAACAACTGTAGGTGAAACCATCTCCCCTAGAGAAACAGATCCAGTCCAAACGGTGCTAGCATCCTAAGTGAACAAGGCTATTAAACGACTTCCAGTCCGGTGTAAACTTTACAGTCACTGTTTAGAGTAGTGATAATTTAATATGCCAGCACAAGAAGCATTTAGAGTAGACAAGCAGTGGGAGACGATACCGCAAATGTGCCATTGCAAAAGCTACCAACTGCCCGGGCGACAGGAGAGCGCACGCCGCTCGGTGGCGCGCACAAGTGTTCAGCAAAAGTCTGCTCTCTTGTCTTGGTGTTAAAAGTGAGGCTCGTGTTCTCATGTTCATGGAAAAAAAACAACAGAAGATCAAATGCTGAAATTTAAAACCAACTTTTCAAGTTCCCTCGTGTGAGTTATTAATGATTACCTCAAGTATCAAACATGACTTTTTTTTTATTTTATTGTGGTCCAGTGCTGTTTTAATGCCACAGTGAGGACGTATTGATAATGATTCATACATGCTCTGGAGATTTAAAGGTTTAGTTTGTATGGAAGCCCATTAGGACCAGTGTGACAGAAAAAAATGATTCTGTAATTAATTATAATGAGAAAGTTTATCAAAATAATGACTTTGAGATACTAAGTCAGTATTTTGATAATGTTTCTCATTATTTTGACTTACACAATCTTTTTTTAGTTCATATTGGCAGAAATGGGCTTCCATACGTTCTCTCTCCTGACGAGAAGATCGATACCACTCTCATGTCTCTGCATGAAGTAATGGAGCTGAGTCAGGAGGCACTTAACTTAGCTTAGCACACAGCGAGCCAAGTCCTGTCCAGAGTGCAGAAATACATCAACACAACATCTCTAAATCTTACAAAGGAGTCAGGAAGCAGCTTGGTTTCCTCGTTTCAAAACAAAAATTGGCTGCAAACTAACTAACTCACTAGGGTGGTATCGATGTTCTCATCTAACTCTCCCCAAGAAAGTATTTCCCAAAATGTTGAGTTTAAGGGACAGTTTGTTACCATTGTGTGTTAAATTAATACCCACTTGTATCACAGCTGGCTACTTGGGGACCAATAGATGACCCAAGGGGCCACACCAGACCCTTGAATCCCAGACGCCTAAAGGATATTTTCATGAAATCCTGGATATTTTAAAGATTGGCACTTTTTTTGTATAATATTTGGGTTGAATTGTGAAGCCATGAAGTTTCTCCCAAAGTCCAGAATCAACCCGTCAAAGCTCCTCTTTGTTACATTGTGCGTCAGGTAAACGTAACTTTGCTACGACTCTGTTAAATACAACGATGTCCTGGTGCAGCAGAATCTGCCTTTTTCTTAGAAGCTTTCCTCTCAACCCACTCAGAGGAAACACTTTTAAAACAGGGAACTATCCCTGGATACTTCCTGGACCGGCCTCTCCAACCATTACGATCTTTACCTTTGCTGTATTGGATCTGTATGTTTTGTATTTGTGGTTTTACTGTGCCGTGATTGGTCGTTAGTCTCGATTCCTCTTTCTATTCTCGTACTATCTTTGTTTTCTTACGGAGACCTTTCTATAGGGAAACTTGAATTCTTTTGGATTTATTTTTGTATCACTCTCTTTGAGGTTCACTGAAGGAGAAACTGGCAAAGGAGATGTTGATGCCTTAATCTGTGTACTTCAACTTGGTTTTTAGACTTCTGTTTCAGTTTTTATTGTGAATAACGCAGAGCATTGATACCTTTGTTTTGATAAATTCTGTACTTAATCAGAAATAAAAGAAAACTTCTCTCAGCGCTGTTACACTGTGTTTTGTATTAAGTAGATTTAATAGCGAACAGGCTTCTAAGAGGTGTTTTTATTAGTGTAAAATCTTGTATGTAATTAATAACCCCAAGTCAGGAAGTCATTCTTCCAACTTTGGTGTGTTGGTGAGCTTTAAGTCGTAAGAGGGAAACAACATGAACACTACAAAGGAGATGTGTTGTATTTTATTGCATTTAAACGACACGTTTAAAACAGTTTCCATAATTTTTTGTGACAACGAAGAGCAATGTTGCCACTTTTAATGCTGTAGTGTGGTGTTTTTCCAATGAATTAACTCAACGTTAATGCAGAGTAACTCTTGTGTTATTCCACAGCCACTCCCTTCTTTCTTGCAGTAACTTGTTTCCCGCCATTTCCACAACCTGCTCTTCTTACTCAGCTGCTTCCCATTTCCCCAAATCAGCCCAGTAACATTTATACTGTACCAAATTTAACAAAAGTATTTAAAAAAACACAAATACAAGCTTAAAGTATTTTGTTACAAATTACATCATTATTTTATTCTGTCCAGCAAAATACAAATTACAAAATACATATTTTACATCAGAATACTGCTCAAAGAAAAGATTAGAAGGTACAAACAAAGATCAATACAGGAGACAAAGGTTTTTTGGAGGAAGTGTGTTTATTGGGAGGTTTTCTATGGATGCTGCAATTATACATCATCTCAAAGATTCACTGGGATGTGGACAATAAAGGGTTACATCTGAACAGGCTGAACTGGAGAAGCTTTGTTGCATTAACTTAGTTGTCCACAGTCGGCGATAACAACCTTGGCTTTAGGTTTTCCGTCTCTGTTACCTTGTTTCTCTATGTTGTTAACAACATCCATGCCCTCCACGACATTGCCGAACACCACGTGCTTCCCGTCCAACCTGGAGAGGAGAGGAGCAGGTTAGTGTTTGAGACAAACGTTGATTAAACCTGAATGCAGGATCAGAGTGGAGCTCACCACTCAGTTTTAGCCGTGCAGAGGAAGAACTGGGATCCGTTGGTGTTGGGCCCAGCGTTAGCCATGGACAGTGTGCCAGGACCCGTGTGCTTCAGCTGGAAGTTCTCATCAGCAAACTTCTCCCCGTAGATGGATTTGCCTCCAGTTCCGTTGTGTCTGGTAAAGTCCCCGCCCTGAATGAAACGAGGCTCAGTTGAGTCGATATATGAGGCAACAGCAATCAAACATCTGGAGGTTGAAGCTGAACTAAAGAGGAAGGTAAAGGTACCTGGCACATGAACTGTGGGATGATGCGGTGAAACGAGGAGCCCTTGTAGCCAAAACCTTTCTCTCCGGTGCACAAAGCACGGAAATTCTCTGTAAAATAAAGACTTCATTAAATATACTTGAACCAACTGAAATAGGTTAATATCACCAGTAATAAGCACTAAGGTTACGATCTCAAACCACCTGAGGTTATGAGCCAGGCTGAATATTTAAGGTTACATGAGTATTTCTTCCTTAAAAAATACAAAAACAATCCCTCTCAAACATCACGTATGATGTAGGAAGTGTGTGCCTGTATCTGCAGAGACTCCGCCCTCTTGCTGTAGTTTCTTATTTTGCTTATTTTACATTTCTGGCCGTCAACCTTTGTAGCCTCCAGCCAATAACAGCACACAGACTGTGAGGGCGGGAAAACCAGTGACCAGGTATCAGATCATAAGCACTCAGTGGTACCCAACGTGGAAGTGCCAAAAGCTAGGGTTGCACAAGAATTAGTTTCTTGTGCAATAGAACATTTGAGAAATATCTCAGTTTATAGTGTTTATACAACTAACAAACAAGGTCTGTTTTTAGTAAGTTGCAGTCTGTAAAAAAATGCCTGATTCCTTCATATATTGAATCATTTTGTGGGGCCAGAAAAACTCCATAGTAATAATCTTCTACATGCTCCTGACAGTAGAATCAGATACTAGAAACCTATATAAAGACTCAGCCATACGAAAAATAAACTACTGTGATATACAGAGAAACCTCCATAATCTTAAAGGACCAGTGTTTAGGATTTAGTGACATCTAGTGGTGAAGTTGCAGATTCCAACTAACTGAACACTGCTGGAGTCTGTATTTGTCAACCTGGGAATGAGAACGTGCTGTGAAGTCTGCAGGAGAAACTACAGTGGCTGCAAAACCTGTTGTTTTAGTGTCTGGGCACATACCTATAAATATTATATTCTATTTCTGACAATAGATCCTCCTCAATGTTACACACTGATACAAATCTTTGGTCCGGCACTAGTTTATATAACTAATAATAACTATGTGGGGTGAAATCCCAGTCAGTCAGTGATGTTCAGGCAGGCAGGTTTTTTCTTGTTGCATGAAGGTTGTGAAACAGAGCAATCAGTTAACAAAATATCTATTAAAAAGTTCTTAATCCAGAATGTTTTAGTTTGTGTTTCTTTAAATTTTCGATGTAATCCGTTTCAACAAGTCACATCACAGTGCATCGGGTGGAAATAACCACTACAGCACATTTAAAGCAAACAACAGTTCTTTTCCTTCTTCTCCTATGTACAGTAAAATTAATCATAGCAGCAGTAGCACTCCTTGTTTAACTGTTGGCTTTGCACTTTGGCTTTGCAACTGGTTATTCAGGTTCTTACTCCCTTGTCTCACCGTCAGACTTGTGCTGTAAATGTTCAGGTGAGGATTTCCTCAACCAACCATAAATCCATTTTGGGGTGTGTGTGCAAAAAGTCTGAGCAGCAGCTGCCGCGTAGTTATTGCTGTGAACGCTTACATACCTGCAGTCTTTGGGACCACATCAGCCCGGAGCTGCAAGACACAGACAGAAAATCATCCAGATGGATGTAAAAGACATGATTCCCTTTAAAAAAGTTCCATAGTTATTAAACTGAAAAGACTAAAGTGAATAGTTTGGTGTTTATCTTACCTCCATTACAATCCTGCCGGCGTTAGCTCCATTTATAGTGATGTCAAAGAAAACTTTGGGGTTTCCCATGTTGATAAACGCGCCTGTTATTTGATTATGATGGAAAAATGCACTTGAATGAATCCTGACAGCGCGTCAGATGCACTGTATGTAGTGAGGTCTCTAATTTATACGTTTCTGTGCACCGGTGACGTAAAGGCCGAAAGCCAATCACAGCCAGGTTCTTTCACAAGAAACGGACCAATTGGGAATGAAGATGGGCGGAGTTACAGTTGTCGGCTGGCGAGATGTGTCTGCGGGCGAGGCAGTGAGCAGACAGGTTTCTGTGGTGAGAGCCAGCAATTTTAAAGCAGTCGTGTACAAACGTGTTCGAATCCAAGTCACACGAGATACTGATGGGGGGGGGGCAAAGCAGTTTTCTTCAGTGCACTGAATCAATACAATCAGTTGACTTTAAAGATTCATTCAAAAGATTCGTTTAGTGCTTGGCTGGAGCTCCGACTGCGTAGTCGAGTGTTCAGAGTCCATTGTGAAGGATAAACTGAGGATTTAGTTGTGTGAAGATGCTGTTATACATATTTTGTATTACTTCCTACTTCAACACTTCAAGACCTGAGCGGGAGGGAGGGACCGTATCCTTACACGTTCACTCACATCTGACTGAGAGCTCGGCTGAAATGACTTAAAAATGAACGAATCGTTTCATGAAATACAGTTAATTCACCTAAAAAAATCTTTATTTTGAATGAATCATTCATGAGCGACACAACTCCTAACAGTCTGTTGTGAAAGTCAGCGATTTAAAAGCAGTCGTGTCCAACTGGCTTTTTAGTGAAGAAAACAAGCAGGCAGATGTGGACATATCTGTCCAGATGTGAAAAGACATGAAAAGAAAGCTCAACCTGAGCGGGTGTCAGACGAGATAAAGTGCCCTCTTGTGGCTGCTGACAAACGCCAGAATATCACATTCCTTTGGAAGTCCTGTTGCTTCACTGCAAGGCTCAACCTGTGAGCCATACGTTGCCGAAAGGTAACAACCACAGTCGTGTATTTCACCTCAACCTTTTCATACTCTCAGCCAGAAACTCCAAAACATCTTTAATCCATTACAGCAGTGGTGGAATGTAACTAAGTACATTTACTGAAAGTGTTCCTTTATGAGTTGAGAAAAGTCTGCTACTTCTTTAACTAAATTAACTGTAACTTTGTTGAATGAGCTGGAAAATGCATCGTCACAAAGCTGAAAACAGGTTGTCTGAGCTCATGAATATGAAGCATTGCTGTAGATTAAATGACCAAATAAAGAAGTTAAAATGAGCTCAACATTAAATATCTACAGCAGTGAAATGCAACATTAATGCAGCTGTAATATGAATCCAAAAACATCAGATATAATAATAAAACATTGACAGGGAACATTTTACTGCAGAGGGAGTATTTTTTTGTATTATACTTACATATATTACATCACAGTGTGATGTTACTACTTTTGTTTAAGTAATACTTCCTCTACCACTGTAAGAAGGTATGACAAACACAGGATCTTCCCCGAGTTGAGTTTAGGACCTCTAGTGGTAAAATATGTCAACTGCAATAATAATAACTTCATTTTGATCCCACTGCCATTCAGCAAATTATAAGAATAAAATGTATTTTTGAATGAGAGGACACACACAAAATAAGCTTTCAGGTTGTTTTATTTACACGATCACTTTATCATTTTATTTTATTCAGATTTTGTTAACAAATGTGGTCCTTAAAGATCAGAAGGTACAAAATATTACACAGCAGACAAACGTTAGAGGAGAAAGTGGGTTGGTTGTGTGTTTTTCTACGGATGCTGCAGGTTTACACCATCGCAGAGATTCACTGGGACAATAAAGGACACATCTGACAGGTGAACAGGCCCAACTGAGGGAGCTTTGTCGCACTATTTTAGTTCGCCACAGTCGGCAATAACAACCTTGGCTTTAGGAGTGCCACTGGTTGTGCCATGCTTATCCATTGCCTTGACAACATCCATGCCCTCCACAACGTTGCCAAACACCACGTGCTTCCCGTTCAGCCTGGAGGGAA